TGTCACAGAGGACCCAGCCACGATACCGGGCACTACTTTGCCATCCTTACCTATCGCAACCTCATGTGGCTTGCGGATGATGGCAAACCACCGGTCCACTTGGCACATTTGACACCGCAATTGGCCAGCCACTCCATCCAAGTCCGGAAAAGCGGCCCAGGCTGGCACAAGAGCACAACCAGCTCCACTATGCCAACGTCACCAACTTTGGCAGACAAGTCATTGATTGGTACTGGACAAGGCAAAGTGAGGTCTACATCTTTGCCGAAACCCACCTAGATCCACAGAAGCATCAACAAGCCTGTCAGTATTACACTGTCCGTGGGAGAGCCGCTTTTGGGGTTGCAGCTTGGCTCAACGAAGACAACAGCGGAACCATGGAGGGCTCCTAGTGCTGGGAGACCAATCATGCGGATTGACCCCACTGGAAGCCTTCAGCATCCAGGGCTGCGGCTATCAAGCCTTTCTATGGCAGTCCACAGAGCAAACAATCTTGGTTGCAGGAATCTGCCTGCGCACAAACGAGAGCCTGCAGAGTGACACCAATGCCACCATTGCAAAGCTCTTGACACTCTTGGAAGCAACGACACACCCCTTTGTCATCATTGGGGGTTGGCAGAACCAACCAAGCAGCATTTCCAACACCGTGCTGCCTTCGAAATTCCATTTTTGAAATTCTTGCACCAGGCCACAGCGTCCTTTCAGGAAATGTGATCGACTTCAGCTTGGTCCACAACCCACTTGCAGGTAGCACAGCACTCACCACGGACTGGGCAGCCCCTTGGCGACCTCATGCCCTGCTCCTCAAGTTTGATATAGAAGCCGCCACCAAAGAATATCGGCAGATCCAATACTTCCAACCCCTGCCGCCCACGCCAGACATCGACTTCCGCCCATGGACATCATATCAATCTCAGGCCTTCAAACTGGACCTCTACGGCAACCCGGCCAATGAATCGGCACAAAGCCGGCGCAGAACGATATCTATTACAAGAGCCACACTGCATGTGGTGGTGAAACCACTCCTACGGAGCAACTGCAGGCCCGCCTTAAGCTCGCCATTGCACAGCCCAGTACCCAACCGGGCGGACCCACCAAAGGGTTCATGAGGGCCATCCAAGATGCCCACTTGGGGACAATTCCTGGACACTTGCCATCATTGGCACCAGTACCGAGATCCACATGCTGTTGAACTACTGCAACACACAACGACCCACCAGCTCCAAGAGGCTCAACAGGCAGCCAATGATGAAGGACATCGCCAATACAAAGAATGGCTGAAACAAGGGCAGGCTAAAGGCCTACGGCGCCTATTCAGAAGCCTCAAGAGTAGTGAAGCTGCAAGGCAAAGGTCTTACAGAAACATAGCGCATGGATCACAGACTCCAAGACTGGGCAGTCTCTGGCAAATCCGACAGGATGCTCAGCCACATGAAAGACCCAGCCTACGTGACCAGGCACAGCACCAGGCCAAGCAGCTTGAACAAATCACCATTGGCCAGCTTGCCAAAGTCCTCCAGGGACTTCCAGATAAGGCCATTGGCCCGGGTGCGGTCTCAGCCCAACTGCTCCGGAGTGCACCGCCTCTCTCGCTTGGCCCGCTTCTCAAACTACTGCAGGACATGGAAACGCCAACGCGGCTACCGATGCACATGGTGGTTATGCTGCCAAAGAACACAAACTACAGAGTGTGGTGCCGGCTGAGAAAACTACTTCTTGACCAGTGGCAACACAACCTTCCCGACACCATGAACCACGACAGAGCTCGACCTGGTGCCAACATCCTGGAAGTGGCGCTTGAACGACTACTCAGACAGGAAGTGCACAAGGCCACTGGGCAACATGGAGTCACGGTGCTAATGGATATGTCAACTTTCTACGACACCATCCACTTAACCCGGCTCCAAGAAGAAGCGCTCCAGCTACAGTACCCACCTCTCATGCTAGAGATGGCCATGCAAGTATACACCGGGCCCAAGTCCATTGTGGCGGAGCAGGAAATGACTCCATTCTTCTTTGTCAACAATGGAGTTCCAGCTGGCTGCCCACAAGCACCGCTCCTGGCGAAAGCCATCTTGGCCCCAGCACTCACGCCCTGGAAAGCACAACACCCAAAGGTTCACCTTTCCAGTTGGGTTGATACGTGGGCTTGACACATCCAGCAAGAGCCCCCAACAAGTGGCTCAAGAAGCTGTGGAAGCCTACAGGGACCTGCACCAGCGCCTCACTGAGCTTGATCTCAGAGTCAACCCCAAGCTTTCATTGCGACCGACAAGGCCACCGACCGCGAACTCAAGAACCTGAACCACCTGTGGCACCAGTCATGAGAGACCTTAGCCAAACATTTGGGCCATCACACCGCAGGCATCTTGGACAGCGCCTACGACCTCCACAGCAACAAATACATGGACCCAGGTGACCAGATCATCATCCACCGCATCCGGGCCATGTATCACCTCATCAATGCAGGGCCACCCGACCAGCTACAGCACCTTGAACAAGCATGGACCAGCACCCATCAGCCAAGACAGGCAATAGCCGTGGTACACGGTGCGTGGACCTATGGCGGCAACCATAGAACACACACACAATCTCATGCACGGGACCAGACCGGAAGCCAATCTGCTCCTCAGCAATGAGCTCAACCTGCAAGCGCCCTGGTGGCAGTTGGAGCACATCCTCCTCAAAGAAGCCCAGCAGCGCACAGCCAGACTGGCCAGCAGACGCAATCATCAACACCTGGTACCAGGGATTGACTGGCATGTTTACCGCCAGATCATCAAGAAACTGCCAGCCAACCAGCAACAGCACCTAAAAACATGGGTACAAGGTGCTGTCCAGTACCGCGAAGCCAGCGCCGTCAAAACATGCCCCATTTGCCATGTGCCAGCAACTCCCAAGCACATCCTCTGGCTCTGCAAGTGGCACAGAGATCAGCAGCATGCACCACTTCCGGCTGGGTGGCTCGAGCGCATCACGCGCCGTGAAGAAGAGCCCCTCTTGAACCACAAGATCATAAACAGCACCCACATCCGTACCAACAATAGGCCCATAGGCCCGCACCAGTACATTGGGTGGGCCTTTACCCTTGATGCCACACCTTCGATCTATGATCCCCGAAGCCAACTCTGGGTTTTTGGCTTGTGTGTCCATACCCAAACCATGGGGCAACTTCGACGGCTCGGGGCCATCACTGCCATCCCCAAGAAAGCGCAAACCAAGGCCAGAGCCCTGTTTGGTTGCTCTCACCAAGCACACCACCACACCGGTCAAGGTCATTGTCCAATTGACCACACTCTCGAAGAAGCCTGGCATCATCCCACCCAGCAACACCAGTTCCAAGGAGGACCTCACCCCACAGGACTGCAGTCGCATCACCGTCCTTTACATCAGCAAAAACACCAGAACACCTGATGCACCTGGGAACGAACCCCAGCTCCGACGGAGACAGCGCGATGCAGCCCTGACTGCATGGGAGCGAGCCAATGCCATGCATGACCGACAGCGCACAGAATGGCAAAAAACAGTAGATCAGGACCACCTCCAGATCTACAAGCACGCAGTACACAGGCTGGAGAAGATCTACGCAGACAAGCGGCACTACATACACAGCAAGGCACCCAGGCACCAGGGCAAGCAAACAAAGCAGCATAAAAAGGACTTGGTGCAGCAGTGCAAGAAGCCCTGGATCCCACAGCATCACCGCTGGGAACCGCATCGTAGCGGTTACCACTGCAGAGCCTGCGGCACTCGCATGCATCAAGGATTGACCACCCCAATCCTTGAAGGACGACTGCAGGAACTCTGCCCCCAGCTTCTGGTTGATGCCAGCCGCACAGAACCAGCACAAGCAGCACCGGCTCCAAACAAGAAACCCACCAGAGCTCAGAACATCAGGAATCTACTCAACGCACAAGCTGCTAACGAGCCTGGCAAAGAGCAACACCACTTCGAAGAGACCAACGGCTATCTCAAGTGCATCAAGTGTGGAGCCAATATCCACAAACGCACCAATGAGCAAGCCTTCCAGGACTACATCAACAGCCCATGCCTCGACCAGGCTTACAAGGAACCACATGATGGGCATCCAAGCCACAGCCTATGCCAAAAAGGGCGCGGGTCAGCTGTACCCTCTGTGGACTCCAATGGCACCTTGACAGCCAACAGCGGGTCATCCATACCACCGGGTTCCAGAAAGAGTGCAAAGGTGCGGGCCTCAAGGGATCACCGCCCCTTCAACACTTCTTTCAGGCGGCGAGCCAAACGAGCCAAACAGCCACACAGAGAACAGAGGCTCACCAGAAGGCCCCTGCCAGGACCGACACAACCACAGGCCCAACACCCCGGCGACTGCACTTCAACACAGAGCTGGATCAGCGTGAGTTTGAAGAAATTCAAACCCAACCTGCCAAGGCCATGAAACCCAGCCATAATGCAAGTTCAACAGCTGCAGCTCCAAGCACAGCCGGTAGGCCACCACAGGCCATACCTGACAGCTCCACAGACTCCTGCAGATGGACAAGAGATTGGCGAAGAGGAAGCAAGCGTGCAAGACGAAATCCTCGAGGTCGACTACTTCTAGCCGCTAGCCATCCGGAGCTGTAGAGCAGATATGCCAAAGGCATCGTGACTCCAGCGGAGGGAAAGGCCACTTTAGGAAAACACATACATACAGACAGAGAGACACACACAGACAGACATATATACATACAGACATACAGACATACATACATAAAGACAGACAGACAGACAGACAGACAGACAGACAGACAGACAGACAGA